CTGGTAGCTTACTGTTTCTTCAAGGAGGAAGCTGACTTTCATGCTGTCAGTTTGAGCTGTAGAGCCAAGATTCACTTAATGGCCACATGTGAAACCTTGTTGCCCTTTCCCAGAATCAGATGGCAGTGATGTGGTCAAGGGAGTTTTTCTTTGACCATAAATGGAGGCGACAGGTGTGGCTCAGGCCCCTCCCCCCCATGCTTCTTTGAAGCCACTGTGCCTCTGTCACCTCCACTCTGGAGGTGTGACACGGGAGAAGAGAGCCGATGTGCTTGGCCCCTTTGGGTTGAGTCTTGTTTCTAGGCCATTGTGTTAGAGCAGTGTGAATGATGCCATGTTGAAGACACTTTGCGTGCTACCAGCCAGATTTTGGAAATCTGGTAACAGTTCTCCTACCAGCATAATGAGGGTAACTGTAAAGTGTGGGTCCCAGAATGAGGGTAAAGAAAGAGCAGCAGCTTTACCTGGGCAGTACACTGGATTGAAGGCAGAGAGGGGTAAGTGATGGCCGATAATGACTGATGACGAAGGGTGAGCAGGGAGTGTTGATTTCTCTGATGTTAAGTAACTGATGTAAGTCTGACTGATGCTCAACCCTCTACCCCTCCCAGGGAAGAAAAGCAAAGATTCAAAGTAAGCATGACACTAGTTGGTTTACCAGTGTTCCTTCCAAGGAGACATATATTTTTTAATAAATGATAGTTGCAATGAACTGTGGCTCAGAGACCTTCTTGAAGTAGTTGGGGAGGGAGGCATGGCGTCACAGCAGTGGGGAAAATGTCTCAAACCTGTTCAGGGCCAAAAGGCTCTTTCCTTAGTGATCATTAGCTGAGCGAGTCAGGTGTTCCTCTGTCTGGATGGTTCTAGACCCCTGTGGCCATAGCAGGTCCTCCACCCAGGCCCCAAAACACTGCTTCAGATAGCACCAACCAGGTCTGGGAAGGGGTCCCCACATCCTTGATGGCAGAATGTTGATATTTTCCCCAAAAGTACACAAGATGGGAGATGCCTCCTGCAGCAAAGAGGTTTGTTAGAGAAAGCAAGGGCCAAGTTAGCAGCAGAGAACTGAGTAAGATGGTGAGAAAAAGCTGGCCTACCAGCTACTGGTGTGCCCAGAAAGCATTGACAGCTCAGGAGAAAATGAGGGGGAGGTGGACCCAGAGGAGGCCCCAGCTGGCAGAGCAGGGTGGCAGTCGTCCCTACAGACCTGGAAACATCAAAGGTAGACACCCCCTGACCATAAGCTCTGCTGTGACCTGATGGCTAGAGCCCCATCTCTGTATGGGGACAACACTGGGATCTCTCCCCAGTTCTGCTGCTGACAGTACAGCTCAGGGCACCTCGGTTTCGTCTGTAACAGACCTTAAATTACAGCATTCATAGGATGATACTCATGACTACATAAAATATTTGTTCAGGCACAAATGACCAACTTTATCTTAAGGTGGAAGTGCTTCGGGAAATGAGCTAATGAAAGCAAAATCTTTACCCAAAACAAGTGTGGAAGCAGTGTTCAAGGATGACCCTAATAACAGATGCAGAAGAACGTGGGAGTTGAGCTGCAGGACTGGGAAGAAACTAGAGTAAAACAGGATGGGGCTGAAAAGGGACACCCAGCTCCAGCAGAGGGGTCAGTACTGAAGGATAATGGAGCCTCTTCCACAGGGACAGTGCTTGCCAGGTGGCAACCACTAGAAGCTCAAGATGTCAGAAAACCTTGTAGAAATGAGCTGAGCGGTTGTTGGGAGAGCCGTTAGCTTTGTCCGACAAGTGTGCTGGGGTTAGAAGTGCATCTAGGTGCCTGGTGAGCCACCTGGGTCTTGGCAGTACTCAGTCAGACTCAGTCTCCCCAAGTTTTGTCCTTCATCCTTGTTCCTACCTAGGGTTTTATGGCTTCAATTCTATTAATCCTTTTACCCATTCAGTCATTTCCTTGTCATGTTTTGGACATTTTATTATCACCGCAAATAACTTTCTGGAGCTCAAAATCCAATTTCCTCAAAAGCCTCTCTCTTCCCCATCTCTTCCAAGAAATAGCAGAACTGGCTCCTGTGCACCTTGGTTCGTCCCCAACGAACAGGGTCTTGGTACATGAGCCTTGCCAGAGCACAGAAGGGCTTCATTGGTGAAGCCTCTATGGGACTTGATCTGCAGAGCCATGCCCTGTGTCAGTATGATACCCACTGGTGCCTTCCCATTCAGCTGGATGAACTACCTGCGTGTCCTACCCCTCTCTTGTCACTGGCACTCTAACCAGAAGTATCTAGCATATTTTGAAGGACTGGAAAGGGGTTGATTGAGAAGGATTCAGATCTGCCTGCCCACAGTGAAGAGCATGTGCAAGAGGATGTTCCCTGACTGGCCTTCTGGTGCCAATGATCATTCTCCACATACTGACAGAATTCACTATCTAAAGTGCTCTCACCCTCTGGGAGCCTGTTACCTACGGGAAAAAGTCCAAGCTCCTTAGGATGGCCCTTTTGCCATCAGGCCTTGGCCTTTCTCTGCTGTCTCATCTTTTGCTGTGTCCCCGTGTGCTCCCACCACAAGTTCCCTGAATGCACCACAACCCTGTCTTTACTGACACTTTTTTTTCTGCCCATAAATGCCCTTGCTGCCACCCATCTTGCTTACCTGGAAGAGTCCTCTTAATATTTTAAGACTCAATTCCAAAATTCCCCTCCTTCTATGCTGCCTTTCCTGAAGCACCTCCTATTTTCCCTCTCACCCCAGAGGTTGAACTGGCGTGTCCATCCTTTGTGCTCTATTAGACCAAGTAAGAACGTTAGTCATTGTAACATGCTTACTATGTCACAAACACTACTAAGTGCTTTATGCATTTTAATTCACTTATTCCCAAAACAGTCCTATGAGGTAGGTGCTCTTACTATCCTCGTGTTGCAGATGAGGAAACTGAGGCACAAGGTCAGAGCTAAAAGCGGGTTGTCAAACACAGGCTGTATGACTGCAGTAGCTGTGCTCTTAATGGCTACACTGTGCTACCGCTCACTTTGCCACACTTGGAACATTTTACTGACCCTCTCTATGTGTGTCTTCTTCTCCTTGACTTCTCTTTGAGAGCAGAGACTATGTCTTATTCATCTTCATATCTCCAGCATTTAGCACAATATCTGTCACATAGTAGGTGCCCAGTAAAAGGGAAGAGATGTGCTAGTCTTTGGCTCAAGCTTGGAGGGTAGATATTTGAGTAGGCCTAAACCTGTGGTTAATATGATTTTTTTGTTTATTTTATGGAGAGTTTCATTCTGGGGTACCTGAAATCTCCTCTGGGATCTTGCTCCATTAATTATGACTCCTTTTCATTGCCAACCACTTCCTCTCCTTTAGCACCTTCCCTTTTCACTCTGCTGTCTTCTCACCAAGAACTATTCTGCTCCCGCTCACTGACCATCCGTTTGTTCATTCAACACAAGTTTATCAAATGCCCAAAGCCCTCAAAGTCAGCCATGATATCCCAAGCATGACATTCAAAGACACTTTTCTCCCCCTTAATGGCATAGAAGTATGAAAAGGCCATGTCCCTGCTTTCACCATTGACTTCATTTCTCTTTAGGCCACTTCGGCTTTTCCTTGACTCTTTCACTCACTCTTCTCCCACCTCCCAAGTGTCACCATTTCCTAGTCACTTAGGTCCAAAACTTGATTCCTCTCCTCTAGTCATCATATCCAATCTCCTACCAAAGCTTGTTGGTTCTTTGTAATGCCTGTTCAGTCCTTTGTTTTCATTATCA